GAGACCTGTTTCGTCAGCATACGTATCTAGAATTTCTACCAGGGATGGGGTTTGTATAGTCTGGATAGCATCTAAAATATTCATATATTCACTTGTACTGATGTAGGTAGTATGTAAAACAAATCTAGTACCTAAATATGTCTAATTTATCAATTGAGTATAGATAGTTGAATGAAATATGACTTGCATATCTAAATGCCTATACAGAGTATTTTAAAAAACATGTGACATCTATCTTGGAGAGATTCTTCATGTAAAAATAAGATTTATTTTTCATGTGGTTACGTTTTTGACTCGGTTCCGTGTGGATAAAAAGTCGAATTTATTAAACGCAATTTATTTTCCACTCACTAAATAACAAAACAAGAAACACTTAAAAACTATCAAACCTATTTACAACTTCCCTCTTACGCACAGGGCCTCGGTATTCTTGACAGGCCTATGTTGACAGGCGCCTGTTATGTTTCTATCTGTGGTTTCTCTATATACAAAATTTAAAAGACAACCCTCGTAATTTTTTTATATATGTTTTAAAAAAGCTTTTCTTTGCTAATTGTCTATCAATATTTAAAGTTTTACTTTCTTGCTACGAACCTGTTAAAGTTACATCTTCTGATAAGTATACTACTGCAATATCATTTAAGTGATTTTCGGCATCATATTCTTCATGAACTGTAAAGTTAGAGGACTCAAGATGTACTTGAGTATCTTCCACAATTGTCAAATTATGTGCACCCAAAATTACCTCTACTGTTTCAGCTCTAAAATTTGTCATTAGTTCCAATAAAAATAAAAAGTAAATTTTTCGACAAGAACAACAAATATTTCTAATAATTTATACGCTATCTCACCCATAGACACAATATGCAGCTGTTAAAACTTTATTAGCTTGGATCAATGAACCCCCACATTGAACTTCCTTCTCATTGATCACTGATTTTAGAGCTACCTAAAAAGGCGAGTATTTTCATATTTAGTACTAAAGCAATATAAACTATAAATAATGATGAATTCTGATTTATGGTGGAATTATATCAATAATATACAGGATATCCCAATATTCCGTGGACATAGAACTACAAGTATTTTTGGAATAAGTTTTGAGCTGCCTATGTTTTGCTAAGCGCTTTAACATTTGACTTTTACAAAACACAAGAAAAAGTATGGAAAGGGTTGAAAACTACCCCCATACCTACATACGTTTTAGTATACATATTTTCCAACTCCAACTCCACCTAGATTGCCTTTTCGTAAAATGGTCCCTCTAGAGTATACTACATTTTTTGTCTCTTGTAAAAAAACGCCACATTGCATAGTTTTTAGAATTTATTATTCCAATGTAATCCTACCAAAATATGATACAGGTTTGAATATTCCTTTGACGTAGATCAACTACTCGAATCAAAATAAGCTAATTGCACACAATTTGCCTCTATAAAAAAGTGCTTCGTTTGTCTGTTAGGGCATCAATCAAAGATAAACCCGAATGTCAATTAATTTAAAATTTATTAGCTTTTTATGAAGCTTATTGTCAAATATCATTTGTTATACTAACAAAAAATCCACATTTTCGCCAACTAGACCATCAGCACATAATAGACTTTATGCGCTTATTTAGCTTGATGTGACATCTTTCGAAGGAACATTTTTTGGAAATCATTTTTTTGGAATTTGGAAAAACATTTTTTTTTAAAAGCATGCGCGGTTTTTTTACAAGAGACAAAAAATACTAGGACCATTTTACGAAAAAAATCGTCGTCGTTGGGGTTGGAAAATATTTATATTACAATGTATGTAGGGGTGGTGCTAGTTTTTACCCTTCCCGAACTTTTGTGAAATGATGAAATCTACCCTCACTCCTACATAAATTTTAGTATAAATATTTCCCAACCCCAACAACAACTGATTTTTTTTTCATAAAATGTTCCTTCTAATATTTACTCCATTTTTTGTCTCTTGTAAAAAAAAGCGCCACTGGGTATATTTTTTGATGAAAAAAAATATGATTGGGACGCACTGTACCTATAATCTCTAATTTTTTTTAAAAAAACTACCCCAAGCAGCATTTGGACGTCCGGACGTTGTGTCACGCGACCAAACGTTATACAGGGTGTCTCAGATTTTAATCGGGAAAATTTAATAGACGATAGAACTTGCAAAAATAAAACAAAAAGTTCATATCAACTTCTAAGATTTAAAGCTTCATTTCGAGATACGATACGTTAAAGTTACTTAAAAAAGAAAAAAAATTAAGATATTTGAAAAACTATTTAATCGATTTTGATATAACATGACCCGTTTATAATACTTACTATGGGACTTAATTTGATGTAATTAGATTTAAGTTTAATGACCAGAGGCGGCGGTGGGGCATCACTGTTAAATTATTTTAAAGGAAAAAATAGGCACGCCACTGCTTTTTTAAAAGTTTGATATTATTTTTGGATTTAGTAATTATTAAAAATGTTATTTTTTTGTCTCCTGACTTTTTTGTCTATCTTGCTTACTTCTTGCGAAAAAAATTAAATTCTAATTGGTAATTAATATTATAATTGGTATTCTAATGGTACCCTTTATCTCGAAAAGGAAGCTTTAAATCTTACAAATTGATATGAACTTTTTGTTTTATTTTTGCAAGTTCTATCGTCTATTAAATTTTCCCGATTAAAATCTGAGACACCCTGTATACAACCAAACTATTATTTTTATGATTTAGTTAGAATGGTTAGAGACATATGCCAGATGGTAGTAAAGGAAAACAAAACAAAAGTATTTAAATGTGGAGGATGTTTGAAGATCATAATTATTGAAACACTTTAACCCACTTTGTAACTCGTTACCCAAGGCAAAAAAGTTAAACGCAAACAACTATATTGATAAATGTATTGTTTCTACTTCGAAAAATACTAATGGGCCTTAAAATTAAAGAAGTTTTAAAAAATTTCTTGAAAATTTTTTTTTAGAAAATGAGAATAATTTATTCGCAGTCGACAATAAAATTGTTTCCGCGTGTTGTTTAGGGTCAAATATTTCAAGTTAATGTATTCAAAAAGCAGGAATTGCTATTTTAGGAACGAAACATTTTCTTATTCAACAACATGGCGGCTTTCACTTTGTGTTTTGGAGATTAAGATGGGGTAATTCGAGTAGTCGCATACTGGACTAATAAAGTCGGAGTTCAGCCTTAACAGGTAGTATACTAGTCGCAAGATTGCCTAATTTAGTCATCCTAGAATCTAGCTTGTGCCGCCAAATAAAAATTAATACGTAGCCAAAAGTGATAATTCAAGATTTCTCTGGGGTGCCCAGCAGTACCCCTGGGCACCCCTGTAGTTTACGCCAATGTACAAGATTAGAAATTGAACGGAGGTATTTTTACGTCCTTATTATTATTAGTAGGAACTTCCTATTAATAGTTTTAAATGTGTTTTATAATAGGTGAGTTAAATAAGTGCAAATATTTTCAAGGCTGGTAGATCCCGATAAAAGAAACATATTTTCTCTTTACCGTTTTTCAAATAATTCCAAAATGTTTTACTATGAAAATTAAAAAAAAATGAGAACTACTGGATCTTTTCTGGGTTATCTTTCTTGTAAATTTAATCCACTAGCTATGTTGTCATATTACGACGATATTATTTTTTTGAACTAAAAATTAAAAAAAAATCTTATTTAAGACTTGCCCTGTATATTGAATACATTCTAACAAACTTTTTTTTAAAATAAAATTACTTTATGATACATTCACATACTTTTTATTATTAGAATTTATTTCGAGCACAACAATCAATAAGTAAATTAGAAACCCTTCGTATTAAAACCTTTAATTTCTCATCTCATTTTGATTAGTCTCACATTATGATGAACGAATTTAAATATTTTCAAAAAAATGATCATAATAGGTATTTAATTTTTGGGTTGTTTTGATGTTGGTAATAAAAATTTCCTTGTAAAATTTACTATTTTAAATGCAGGGCAGTGAATAGAGCTGCATGTAAAAGCAGAAGTAATCAATTTTCAATTTCGTTATGTCTTTCCTAACATTACAATTTAGGCCTATTTTTGAGTTGGATAGCCAATATGGAACATATTTGTATTAAAGATTTTATAAAAATTTTGCGTATACTTTAGTTTAACGGGTTTATCCAGGTAGTTATAGAAATTCTCAGCCGAACCTTTCTCAAGCGAGCAAAATCATATTTAATGTATCACAAAGCATCTCTTAATTCTGAACTAAATATTATAAAAAGGAAGATTTGCTTCAGAACATTTAACCTGAGAAGAGTATCAAATCACAAGGCAGATCATGTGTACCTGAAGAAGATGCTCCTAACGGTTCTCAACATCAGAAAAGATCAGATGAATAACCAATGAGTATAACATTAAAAGTGTTTTTAAGTCTCTAAAATATGTTTTACCAAAAACAAAATCGAAATCATTAAAACAAAAGACTTTTTTGTAAGTTATGTCATTCTAAGAAGTTTCTCAGTATTTACGACCGAGAAAAATCAATGATATTCCTTGATTTAAGTAAGAACAATTTTCAAATTGGATTATAACGGAGTTTTTAACAGGACAGTGTCTCCTCAATGAACACCTCAGTATATTGTAGCTCAGAAACAACGGCCGATGCAGATTCGGTGGAGAAAATGAGGAAACACCAGAACCCCAATCAGTGAGTGCACCAAGACTACAACCATTCGTGCCCTAAACTTTGGTACGACTGATATAGGAAATGGAGAACTAACCTTTGTAAAACCGCCTCAGATACTGGCTTTTGTCAGAGCCTGAGACTGTATAATGAGTTATAACTCAAGAAGGGGGTAGATCGCAGTGATTAAATTTCTATACAATCTACAATCTACACAGATTTTTTTTTGAAAATAAATGACCTTTTTTCAGTATCTGCATGGAAAATAGGGAGCAGCCGCGAGAGAGAATTATGGCCAGCGGCCTCGTCCGATCGAAGAACAATCTAGTGTCCATCCATAAACGTCCTGTGTATTGTTCCTCCCAACAAAACATTCCTAATATCCATGGAAGGACCCTATTGCAGTTAATATGGAACTTTGTAAATTAAAAAAAAATCTGAAACATCTCATGATCAGATATCTTTACAAAACTAGTCTAATACAAATTTTAGACGAAAAATATCGTGACTAAATTTGTTTTTACACAGATGGCTCGAGATCTGAAGGTGTTAGCTGTGTTTTTACAGCTCGGTTGCTAATAAAAAAATCAGATTACCTTACTTTTTCTGACATTTTAACAGCCGAACTCACAGCTATTTATCAGGCCCTTATCCATATTCGGAACATGCCACCGATTGAAGCATTAATACTATCTGATTCACTTAGTTCCCTCAACAGTATAGCTTCTTTAAACTCCGAAAATTCTCTAACCTGCAGTATTCGAGATCTAGTATATAAACGTACTGAAAGAAACTACAATGTTAACTTTATGTGGATTCCTGGACACTCTGACATTGCTGGTAACGACCGAGCAGACAAACTGGCTAACGAAGCAACGCTCTTACAGACTATTGAAGGAACTCCATCCGTTGTCAATTTCAGAAATTTTCACAAGAAAGTGTTCTTAATTATACTTCAAAATTAATGGGACATCCTCGAGGGAACTAATAAACTTAGATCACAAAAGCCACTTCTTCATCTGTATCAAAATATATATTCTCTTGAACGCGGATCTTTCTGTAAAGTTTTTAAAGAAGAAAGAACCCTCACAGGATACCCATATCTTGTCAAATCCTATATCATCAGAAATGAACTCCCTAGATATATTTTCGCGCCTTTTAACGTTTCGAAGATTAATAAAGTTATGGAATTCTTAGACAGCCTCAACATAACAAAAAAACAGTTTCCAGAGATACTGGCTTTTGTCCGAGCCTGAGACTGTATAATGAGTTATAACTCAAGAAGGGGGAGCACAATAATATCTATAAGATCGCAGT